TCAACAGCAGATAAGTTATTTCATTGTGGTAATTCAACTTTTTGATTTCCTAACAGATCACGCAATAGCATCCAATTAACGATTAGTGTTGTCTTCGTACGTTCGTGTGTATGTGCGTGTATTTGTGTGTGTGTATACGTGTGTGTGTATGTGCATACATGTTTTTATGTGTGTATATACGTGTCTGTATACATACAAATAAGTTTTTTTAATTCATCAAACATAAACCCACCACACACAAACACACACACACAGACATATATATATATATATATATATGTATATATATATATATATAATATATATATATATATATATATACAAACATTTTAACATACATTCAAACAGATAGACATACAAACATGCATACAAACAAACAAACAAACCTACATACAAACAAACATACAAACAAACAATCAAACATACATACAAACAAATAAACATACATACAAACATGCAAACAAACATACATACAGCCAAGTAGAGAAAAGATGTTAACAATATATGTAAATCATAATAACACGTGTATTAAATTTAAAAGCCATCTGTTCCTTCCCGGAGACACTCTCTCTCTCTCTCTCTCTCTCTCTCTCTCTCTCTCTTTCTTTCTCTCTCTAGTACTTTTTTCTTTGTCTTTTTCTCTCTTTATTTCTCTGCCACACATTCATCTTCGTGATCTTAATACATTACAAATGTGTGTGCCGTACGGAAACGTTAAAGAATGTGAAAATATGATGTAAATGAGTGAGTGAGTGAGTGAGTGAGTGAGTGAGTGAGTGAGTGAGTGAGTGAGTGAGTGAGTGAGTGAGTGAGTGAGTGAGTGAGTGAGTGAGTGAGTGAGTGAGTGAGTGAGTGAGTGAGTGAGTGAGTGAGTGAGTGAGTGAGTGAGTGAGTGAGTGAGTGAGTGAGTGAGTGAGTGAGTGAGTGAGTGAGTGAGTGAGTGAGTGAGTGAGTGAGTGATGATAGAAATTAGATGGTGAAAAGTTTGGTGATAAATACGGCGATGATAAAGATGATTATAACGATGGTGATAAGGATGATGACGACGACGATGACGACAATACAGAATTAGATCACTAGCTGAATTTGAACTGCCACCCCAATTGTTCACGGTCGAACAAACGACCACAAAGCAAATGGGTTACCTACCTCTGTTAATTCATAAGTGGATGGTTGGTTGGTTGGTTGGTTAGTTGTTTGTTTGTTTGTTTGGTCGGTTGGTTGTTTGGTCGGTTGGATGGATTTTATTTTTGCGGTCCAGTCGTTTATTACATTTTGTTTGCCTTTTTCTGCCTTTTTCACTTGTTTCTATCTCCAAAAAACATTTAAAAAAACAAAAATGAAACACACAAACACACACACAACCAACCAACCGACCAACAGCAGCAACAACCACCAACAACCGGCAATTATGCCTCCTCCTCTGAAAGGCGCTGAAGCAAGCAGAAATGGAACGTGTGCAAGGAGACAAAACGTTTTATTTATTTCCATTCAAAGCAATACACGTGCAAATACAAAACAACGCACGCACACACGCACGCACACACACAAAAACACACACAAACTTACACATACACACACACACATTTTAATGCATACATTAAAAGTATATAATAAATTTATCTTTAAATACGCATCGTAGAGCTAGCTATGAACACGCACACATACATCCACAACCACACGCGCGCATACGTATGCATGTGTGCACGCGTATTCGTATATATACAAATGGGTATGCAGTCATGTGTACACACATTTGTGTATGCACACGTGCAAACATTTCTTTGATGTTTTTTTGCAGCAGCATACAATCAATAAGAGATTAAACCAACAATTACAAAATAATATAACCTTTTTTTCATATTTTTATATTTTTTTCTACCGTCATTAAAATGAAAAACTCACCAATGTCAGAAACATAATCACAAACACCTCCACCTACAAAACATCATCTTCTTTGGCGGGCACGATGGGGCGACGAGATATATGATTACAACACAAATACATTAGCTATCAATGCATGTGTATATATCACGTCACAGTCAACGTACCTATATATGTATATATAAATATATATGTATATATGCTGGTAAATATATGCTGGTAAAAGACCATAATTAATGCAACAATTCATGAAATCTACCGAATTTCTAGCGTTGGATAGTTTATTATTACATTTCTCAATATTTCTAACCAAATTCTTATCGTCCTTATTTATTTTATTAAAGTTAAAATAATATACGGTTTTCCAATTGTTTGATACACCATCCACACACACACACACACACACACACACACACACACACACATACACACACACACACACACACACACATGCATACACTCACACGTACAGACATACACACGCCTCATATATATAATGCATACATATCAACATATTTATTCATATCATACATCTCACATTAATTCTAAACATATAAATTTATACGATGCTTATGTTTTTTCATATGGAGGACGTATTAGGTTTATGCTATGTATCTATGTGTATTGTTGTATAAGTCATTGTTCTGCTGAGTATGTTTGTGTAATGTTTCCATCTATCTATCCATCCATCTATCCATTCATCGATTCTCATATCAATCCATTGTCAACACATCCATCCAGTCATCTATACGTTCTTCCGTACATACGTTCATACATTCATTCATGCATTGTTTCTTTCATTCATTTATCCTCCCAACCATTCATTCATTTTCGCATCTATCCATCTGTTTATTCATACATTCATTCATTCATTCGTTTGTTCGTTCGTTCATGCATATATACACACTATCACAGAAAGGCACACACACACAGAAACACAAACACACATCCAAGCAAAAAGAAATGAACATCAATCTAGGCATCCATTAAGAAATGAGGCACTCGAAACTCCAAAGTGAAGCGCATTGAAATAAAAACGAAAACACCGTCTTACTTACTAAACTGCGAGCTACGTAAACATTTGATTTGCATGAAAAAATCGTTAATCTGTGAGCTGTTGGAGAGTTATATCAATAGAAGATGATAGGTCGATGGTGCTAGTCTCTCTTATTCTTCTCTCTCTCTCTCTCCCTTCTCTCTCTTTATCTTTCTTCTTTTTCTGTCTTTCCATCTCTGCCTCTTTCTTCTTTTTTCCTCTTTTTCTGTTGTTATTTTTGTTGTCTATCTGAGTATGTTGCGTTCATTTGTTGTTATTGTTCTTTGCTGCTAATGTTCCTTGTTGTTGTTTGTTAATATTCTTTGTTTTTGTTTCTCTGTTGTTTGTTAATATTCTTTGTTGGGTCGTTATGACACCGTACTGACGTTTTTGCAGTTTGTTGTCGAGGAGTTTGATGTCAATTCTTTTTTTCAACGTCACAATGCATTAATCAAATGAAATGAAAAAAAAACTATTTTTTTGAAAAATAAGGAAGAATTCGTTTATTACATTGAAGTTGAATCGAAAATTTCATTCGAGTGTTATAATACTGCAACGCTAACAGAACAAAAAATAAAATAACATCAATAACATTATTGCAACATCAGCACGGCGGCACTGGCAACAACAATGATTTCATCGTCGTGACAATGACATCAACACGATACTGACAGTTACAAAACTGGAACGTTAACAACGTCAACATTGCAACAGCTAAAAACAATTAAAACAAAAAGTTGCATAGAATAAACACGAAGGCAAGACAAACACACCGACACACACCGACACACACAGACAGACACACGCATACACACACACGCACAAACACACACCACGCACACATACAGCGTATAACTGGAATGATAAATTTCACAACGCGATAAAAAATGGTCATATCAGAACTATCAATTCTTCAAACAATATGTCCCGAACAAGGAATATTCTATAAAAGCTTCTTTTAATAAATAATGAAAAATATTAACTAAGAATTATTGCGAATTTTAAAATGTCGCCAATGTAGGTATACAATGTATAAAAATTTATAGAAATAAATAAATAAACTTTGTAGGAATAAATAAATAAAATGAGATAAAATTATACAAAAATTAATCTTAAGTATAGAATAACAGGCGAGAACCTCTGTCTGTTATTGGTTAGAGGTTTTAATTTTGATGTTTGATGACAGATCTGCATTATGAAGAAAAAAAAGAATAAATAAATAAATAAAAAGACGGTAAAAAAACGAAATACAAATAATGTAATTAGTGGTTAGAAAAACGTTTGCTAGTTAGAAAATGCAGTTACATATGGAAGTAATTTAGTTAGTAGTATTAATGTATCAAATACACTTATTGTAATATGATAGAGACATTCAATGTCATGTAATACACCTGTTGTCATATAGTAATGCAATATAACACAATCTTAATGTAATATAAAACATTCTTATTGCAATACGAGATTATTGTCAAGTAAAAGCAGTATTACATCCCAATGTTATTTTAAATTCATTCGCTTCGCAGCCGTGAGCATTGAATGACGTTGTGTGTTTGGGAAAGAAAAATTAGAAATATACGTACGATTGTCTGATTGTTTGTATGCATGAATGTTTGTATGTTTGTTAGTACGTATGTATGTATGTATGTTTGTATGTATGTGTATGTGTTTGTACGTATGTTTGATTGTGTACAGTAAAAATGTACGTGTATGCATATGCACGTGTATGTGTGTGTGTGTGTGACAGTACAGATAGTTTCATAAAAACCTATTTGTAGTGAAATGGAAAAAATAGAAATGATTTTACGTAAAAAATTCATGTTTAATGGAATAAATAGGATCATAAATAAACACAATATCGAATTTTGTGAAAAAAAGCGACGAATATGCTTCTCGATTTGAAAAAATTAAAATTTTCAAGTAAATCTCATGAGATACTGAGAGAGAGAAATTAATGAAAACATAAAAATAATGGTGGCAATCATGAAGCAGACAAAAAATATAACAAAGAAACAGCAGGCCTTTATACACAAACGCCTCTATATTGAAGCGCTACTAAAACAGCTACTCAAACACCCTCTATTCAGACGAAACTAGTTCCACCACCAACACCTGCCTTATCACCATCGCCACCACGACCACCAGCAGCAGCAGAATCAACAACCACACCGGCGACATTTGCGTTCGAACTAGGCGGAGGTGGAGTTGGCATCAAGTACTCAACTTCGACTCCAAAATCGGAAACGGATATTTCTCGATCGCTTGGTTTGAATTGCCTCTCCAGACAGGAGAATATCTCGTCGTTCACAATCTGAAACTTCCTGATCCTATCTACCATCTTCCTCAAGGGCTGTGTGAGTTTTTTTGTTAACGTGTAAATTTAACACCAACACCAGAGAAAGATAGTGAGAGAGAGAGAGAGAGATAGAGATAGAAAGAGAGAGAGAAAGAAAGAGAGAGGAGAGAGAGAAAAGAAATTAGGATGATATGATATATGGATTGTTGTTCAACAATGGCAAAGGTGTAAAGATCAGAACTTCAATTAAAAAAACTTGACGACGATGACGACGATGATAGTAATGAAGAGTGATTGTTAGGATAGAAAACAAATTTAATAAGTAACGGAACGTAAATCCCGATAACTAACAACGCCAGAGCAGACTTTATCAATCTGATCAACTCTGTTAACCTTGTACAGATGATAGCAGCAATCCATTATCTGAAACCTTCATTAAAAAATGTGGCATTTAGAAAAATACTTTGATGTTAGTAAATATTAATGTATGCTACTTAATCCCCAATGTAAATCTATACGACAGTATCATCTTTATTACCTATCTCTATCGCTGACAACGGTACATCATCGTTATTTATTAGTATCCCTTATGATACATCATCGTCATTTATTAGTATCATCTATGATATCATTGAACCATCGCATAGTATCGTTATATATCATCATTTTGTCGTTATATCTAAAACACAATTAATAATTGCTTTATCGTCTCTATCTCAATCACATCATCGTCGCCATCCTCCTCCTCATCATCATCAGAGCAGCAACATCAGCAGCATCATAATGTCATCATCACTGTTACATCACCCTCATCATCATTACGTCATGATTAATCAACATCATGACGTCATCATTAATATCATCGTGACGTAATCACCTGCGATGTTGCTTTAATAGGAAAACAATTGAGCAACCACCCCAGTTTATTCCTTCGCCAAACAACTCTCTGGAAAACAAATTATAAAAAGATTTACATCACCATCATCGTCATCAGTATCTTTATCATCGTCAACATCTCTATCACCATCAACTTTCTTTTATCATCATCCAAACGATCATCCATCCAAATCACCATCCCCATCGCTGACTAACTCAACGGTCAGTTCATTCTGTCCAAGAGTCCTGCACATGACGAATTGCATGGCTGACCAGACGCGATGAAACTCCTTGTTGCTCTGCACGCACCACAGGGTCGCCGATGAGGTAGCGTTTGACGGCTTGCCGTGAAATACTGGATCTTCGATTGATAGCAGCTCGTCTTGCAGTTGAACCAGGAAGGTCTTGAAGACGTAGAGTCCGCAGGCCAGTTTGTCTCTTGATAGGAGAATGTTCTCTTTACATAGTGTAAAGTCCTTGAGGTGTGGAGTTGTTTCTTTTTGTTTGAAATGTTTTTCACCGCAACTTCATCCTTATTCTTATATACATTTCAAGGTTTCCAACCGATTGCATTATCAACGTAACTATCTTCATCATCATTTCAGTTATTTCATCTCGCAGCTTCCTCATCATCGTCATCCTCTTCATCATCATAATCATCATCATCATCATCATTCTCACTCACATCTTCATCATCCTCTTCATCATCACCATCATCAATCTCACTCACATCTTCATTATCCTATTCATCATCACCATCATCAATCTCACTCACATCTTCATCATCATCATTGTCATCCCGTCGTCGTCATCATCATCAGTACCTCTTCATTGCAGTTCCTTGACATTATGGCCTGCAAGTTAAGATGGCGATACTTGTTCTCGAGTTCGAGCGTCAATTTCGCCCTCTCGGTTTCTAATTCCTCTGACGTTTTTTTGTCTTTGGGAAATTTCGAAATGATTTTAACGTACGCGACGATACTGATGATGATGACCATGATGATGATGATGATGATGATGATGATGATGATGTTATAATGATGATGATATGATGGTGATGATGACGATGATGTTATGATGATGGTGATGGTGTTTTTGGTGATGCTTGTGATAGTGTTTATGACGTCAGCTGCCATTTTCTACAGTAACTACGCAATGATCATTATTATTTCCAACAATCATTCCAACAAAAATCATAGTCATCATTATCAACATCATCATCATTATCACATCATCACCATCGCCGTCATCATCATTATCACCATCGCATCCAACCATCTTCCGGAACGTAAGGTTTTGGAATGACCTTGAGAAACATGCCAGCCATGTTCAACTCTGAAACTTCGCGGATGGACTGAACGAATGAATGAAAGAATCATCGTCGCCGTCATCATAATCATCATCATAATCATTATCATCGTCGCCGTCATCATCATCGTCATCATAATCACCTGGTATTGTTCAATCAGCATAACGAACAGTATAGAATTTCCAATCTCACGCATACATTGGAAGACTTTTGGCTGGAGGTCAGAGTAGGTCAGGATGGCTTCCAACTGCATCTCATAATAACCAAGAACTCCTGGTGGAGATGTTCATTTCTTTATTCGTTCCTTCCTTCGTTTGCTCACTCGCTCACTCATTTATTAATTTATTTAATTAATTTATTTAATCATTCATTCGTTCATTCGTTCGTTCGTTCGTTCGTTCATTCATTCATTCATTCATTCTTTCATTCTTTCATCCGTTCATTCTTTCATCAATCTTTTAATAATCTCTTCAATTTTATTCAACTAATATACTCAATAAATCATTTACACAACAAATTAACACCTAAACTATGGATAAAAAGAGTCAAACAACCAGGAATACAATCAAACACCAACGAACATACGAACAAACATGCAAACACAAACAAACAAACTAACACAAACAAACAAACACAAACAAACCAACCAGGTGATGTGTAATCATATCTAGGAAGTATGCACTTTTCGGGCATGACACTTTGCAGTGACGTTGTATAGGGTACCAAAGTGTTTCTTATCTGCAAACAATACAGAAAAACACACAAAACTAAATTTAAAAACTCTAATTTGTATAACAATCTTAACAGCAAAGAACAACAAATTAAAAAAAACACCAAAGACAAACGATCACCGACCAAAGACCTAATATTCTCCATAAGTTCTTTGGCCAGCATGGCGACATCTTGGTACCCCATTAGTTCGACCATTGCTGTGAAGTGAGGAGCGCCGAAGAAGTTGCTATACATGCCGTGTATGCATTGGTAGCACTGAGCTAGGGCCTAACGATGACGCAATTATTATTATTATTATTGTTGTTGTTGTTGTTAGGCATGTACTACTCCTATTGTCATTATTATTATTACTGATATTTTCATTATTGTTATTATTACAAAAACAGCAATACTACTATTGCCGTTACAGCCGCCACTACTGCGGCTACAATAACTACAACAACTGCTACTACAACAACTACTAAAACTACCCACAACTGCTACTACTACAACTTCTACGACTACAACTTCTACGACTACAACTTCTACGACTACAACTGCTACTACTACAACTGCTACTACCACAACTTCTACTACCACAACTTCCACGACTACAACTGCTACTACTAAAACTGCTGCCACCACAACTGCTGCTGCTACAACTGCTACTACTACAACGACCACCTTGTTGCCGTACAAATGACAGGCGGCCACGTTTGGCGGTCGGTCGCGCGTGGTCTTGTCGGCAAAAGGAAGAACCGTTTGGACGAATCTGACGATGACGTCATTATCATCATCAATATCAATCTCGTCATCAGCATCGTCATCGTAATCGTCACCATTATTATTGTTATCGTTTTGTGTTATCATCGTCGTCATCATCATTGTCGTCGTCATCAGCGTTGTTATCAGCGTAAATAAAGTACATAGTAGCAGTGGTTATTTTGTAACTGTTAAAACGGTAAATATATAAATAATTGTAAGAAAGTAAGAAAAACAACGAAACATGATGTGTATCAACCAAACAGTAATCAATATATTATTGTCTTTTTATTAACTTTATTGCAACTCTATGTTTATCATAAAATTTGATTGATAACGCCAAAAATAATAAGAATGATTGAACCCCAATTGAACAATTAAACCAGCCCCTCTCAAATGTACTCACTTGCAGTGACGAGCATTTTAGATTAATAGGATTTTATAATTATTTCATTATTGATATTTGGTATTTGGAGTTAGAAAATATACACCAGTGCCAGCACCAGCAATAAAACCAAAACGGAAAAGCCGTACAATCCGTGATCCTAATTTCCGGATTTACCGACCTGCCTGTACTGGAATTGTAGCAGTAATGCGGGAGGAAGTCGGAAGTCAGTTCCAGAAGGATGTAGACGGCGATCCGGCCGTAAGGAGAGGTCACGTTTGAGTTTGCTTCTCGCCAAAGGATGGCGAAATCGTCAAGTGGAAGATATTTGTTCAGCCTTTTGTGGGTTTCTTTGTTTATGCGTACTAGAGTCTCTAATTCCTTTGTTTGTTTTTGTGTGAGTTTGTTTGTTTGTGTTTGTTTGTGTGTGTGTGTTTTTGTTTGTTTGGGTGAATTTGTTTGTGTACGTTTGTATGTGTGTGCGCGCGCGTGTGTGTGTGTAAATGTGTGTATTTATTATTTTTTACTGGTACATAAGTGTAGAAACAATGTAATAAACAAGCGACAATGTTAAAAGCAACAATGTAAACAAAACCAACAACGTTGATATCGACCAGAACAACATCAACAACATCAAACAACAGCAACAAAAACAATAGACCACAACAACAACAGACAACAACAAGAACAATAGATCACAACGACAACTACAACAGATCATAACAACAACGACAACAACAACAAAAGCAGACCACAGCAACAACCACAACAGACCACAACAACCACTACAGAAACAACATCAGACCACAACAACAACAATAAATCACAACAACAACAACGGACCACAATTCCAGTGACGTCAGAGAATTCAAATCTCGAGATGGCGATGTTCAGTGATTTGATCAAGAGTTCGTTCATAGACTGTGTGATGCGCTGCTGCAAATCCACTGATCTTCCTAACAACTATAACAGCAACAACAACAATAATAATAATAATATGAATAATAACAACAACAAAAACAATAATGATAAGTTTTTAAAATAAGAAACCAAATGTTCAAAGAAATGTCTCAAAAATTGAGTCATAATAAAATGTATTCAAAATAATGATGATAACAATAATAATAACAACAACAATAATAATTACAACAATAATAATAATTTTAAATAATAATAATTATAGCGTCAACGTTATCAGCAGCAATAGTAGTAGTAGTAGTTGTTGTACTGCTGCTTGCTTATACAATTAGTACAATTAGACAAGAAAAATAAAATTATTCAGCAGCTAGCAACTAATTATAGTAAAAAAACAACATTTTAATTATTGTCAGCATTAATCATCAAACAACATCAGAGAAAGAGAGAGAGAGTAAGTGAGAGAGAGAGAGAGGAGAGAGAGAAAAGAAGAAAAGAAA